CACGTATCGCGAAATAATGGCAAGAGACATCTTTTTATTCGCATTGACACAGTCGTAGTTTTTATTGACAACATACAACATGGCTAAAGTAGTCCGATTCGTAAATATACGACTATTGTTTTACTGAATCAGAATTGTACAGCGAGCGTAACCACAGCAGAACTCATGACTCTTGTGAGCCGGTTCTTTTAAATCTGAATCTGAGTCACAAATAAATGACTCGTGGTACTTTTAAGGGAATAAAAACATTCAGCGCGGCCACTGTACTGCGATTTACAAACAAATGACTCTTGGTTGGTTTGAGTGAATCAAATACGACGCGCCAGTGTCGTTTATTACAACCAAATGACTTTTGTAGGTCGGTATGTATGAGTTGTTCATAAAGGCGATCTACCGGTTTGAAGTCTGAATCATTTCACTGAATCATATAGACATTTAGAGCGGTTACTGAATCTGACTCACTTACTGAACTGCAAGTTATACATTTTTTAATTTTAATTTAATTTTATTTTAGTGATAACTTAATAGGCCAGTATGTAGTGAATGAAATGGGGCCCCCGCTGCCAAAACAGAATTCAGTAGGACACTCTGGGTTTGTGTAGCTACTTTGTTCATTCATTCAGTCATGATTAGCTTATGAAAGCAACTGATGATTAATGTCTTCTGTTCATTTTAACCTTTCATATGTTTTATATAAATACAAAGTGTCTGCAAGTATTGTGTGTAGGCCTAAGTTATATATACACAAACACCCACTCACAGAATAATACTGTAAGTGTCCACTGAATTCAATAAGATAATCATTTGAAGTGAAGCTGATTTGATCAAGACACAGTATGTCAGCTTGACCACACCGTGATTACTATTCAACGCAATAGGCTACTGTTATTTTGCTTTATTTTGTGATGCTGGAAATTTGTGGTCAAGCATAACATGATACAGCAAAAATCCTTTTACGATATCAAAATATATGTCAAAGGGGTCGTCTGTTTCTACTTACCTCGTATTTTCAATCTACTAAAACAACTGGGATAGTTAAGGATACTTTAAGTGCGAGTTATTTTAATCTCTGTCATTTTGGCTGCGCAGACAAATGTACGGATCCCTCTGAATCGCGAAATTGAATGTAACTGTCTCTGCTGTATATTAATCAGGTCATTCAGACGTTGCTTAGTAACGTTCCTAAAGCGTCCAGTCACGTAAGCTAATTCATCATCAAGACTAGACCTCCCAAGCCCCGCCTCCTATGCTAATGCGAATCCTCGCTGAAGGGTCTCGCTGAATGAGAGCGCGTTTGCGTGTGTGCTGTACAATCACACACCAGAGTATCTGCCACATACTTAAGAGTTACTTTATTTGAAATGCAAAGCTACTGAAGACCAGAATCAAGGCATTTTTGCAGGATTTTATTGTGTGAACATCCCTGTGCTGAAATGGGTGGCCAGGTAACCCGTACCTCTTTAGGTGAGTGACAGTAAAATTGCGTCTTTTCATAATTTCGAAGACCTAATATATGAATATCATTTATCTGAATTATTCTAATAATTATTTTTGTCTGCCTTTTCCTTAAATTGTCTGAATGAAATGTGTTTAGTTTTTTCTCATTATTGTAAAGACGTTATAACTAGCCTACTTGTAATATAGCCTACTTGTTGCTCAGAGTCCTATCATCAAACAAATGATTTTCTCTTCTGGTTCTCCAACATAAATGCATTTCAGATAGTTTCAGATAGTTTGTACTGTTGATCTCAACAGTTTGTCTTTCAGAGATCCATTGTTTTTATATAAAGCTAATTATAATGACTACAGAATAGCTAATCCTAAACGTAAAACAAAATGTTTATATAAAATTATATTTATAAAATGTTTTATAAAGATTAAATTAATCATAATTTAAAAAACATTGTTTTCTTTATTTAGCATTACTTAGCATTAATTATTTAGCATTTTGAGTATGTCCTCAAAGGGGCCATTTTTGTCGCTATAATAGTGAATCCCCACACAAATACACATAGCTTTAGATATGCCAGTTATATAGGTTTTGCTCTCTCTTGCTGTGAACAAGGAAAGTTGGCATAATAGAGCATTTCAGGTTTATACCCACTCAGTAAATGAAGCTGACACTGAGTCAACCTGACACTTAGGTCTGCTATTGCCTACAGCACTGAGAGAGAGAGTCGACACATATAATGGGACATGACATTAGTATCAAGAGAACATCTCTAACATCTCTTTAAATAAAGAGGAAAAACAAGAGATATTGAAATATGTGATTAGTGATTAGACTGTTTGTTGTTGTGAAGACCAGCAACTGCCCCCACAAAATAATGTCTTCACAAAAAGATCAAATGCAAAAAGTTTTCTTTGAGGGTTAGGTTTAGGGTTATAGGATAGAAAAGATCAGTCAGTCAAACAGAATGTAGTGAAAATCAACACTATGGAAACATAAACACATTTATTGGTTTTCATGTATTAGTCTTGACATAGAGGTCAGGGGTTTGTGGCTGGAATATTATTTCTATTTATGCCCCACTTGGCTGTATGCGTGTTTATATACAGTGTCTCATGATTCCCATATAAACACATACACAAATACACTCACCTGCAACTGCATGTCCTCAATTGCCCACACAGAGATTGTGCAGATAAAGTGGGTGAAGTATGCAGAATCAGTCTCTCGCTTGTGCAAATAAAATCTAAAGATTCAATTGTTGACTCACACCCAGTGAAATGTCAACAGCGGTTAATTAAAGAGAGAAATGTCTCTGAAATAAGACTGTGTCCTTGACTTAATGCTCCGGAGTGGTCTGGGAAAATATGAAAGGGAGTTGAGGAGTGAGTGTTTGATCACAAGCCAGTTTTCGCCTGTGAGAATCAGTGCACATTGGATTTGCTACTCTTTAATGGCTAGTTATATTTTCAATTATTTATTGTCTCATTCATCATCATGGAATTGTGTACTATACAAAATAGTTCCAGAAATTGACCATATTGCAGTTTTATATACCTACATTATTTCAGTCGTTTAAAATAGTCATTTATTTGCTAATTTCTTTATTTATTTGTTTGCTTTTTTGTTTTTGTTCTGGTCAGTCCAATAATTCTGTTTTATACCTAGCTCCACCACAAAAAAATACTTTAGTAATGAAAAAAATATTTTAGCATATTAATTTAACATACTTTTGTTATATATAAAGGAAAGCTATTCTTATATTTCAGTAAATGTTTTTTTCTTCAAAATATATGTAAAAATGTATCTTGCAGCAATAACTATATATATATATATATATATA